ATCGAGTGGGTGGTTGAAAACCGCACTGGGAAACCTAATATATCCGAGGGTCCTCCCTTCTCACTCTCTTACTGTGATCTGTAAAAGCTTTAAGAGGGCGTACGAGCGTTATCTCGCGCGCGTTGTCCTCGAGCGTTTACATTTCTCGAGTGTATGGCACGCGCGTTATCCTTGTAAGTACAATAAGATATATGTTATACAGAAAAAATAGTTTTAGAGAAAAAATGTTTTAGTTTGATGGTTCTGAAGCTATCTTTCTTATGGTTCTTGAAGCTATCATCTTCATTTTCTTATTCTAAAATATGAATTCTTTGCTACTCTTTGATCGCATCGATTTTTCATAATCTTACGTTACTTTATTATTGAAAAAAATTCAACACACAAGTGTTTTTCAATACTATTCCAAATTCTAGATACAAATTAGCATTGCGGAAATATCTCGATTGCTATCAACGTTGTTTGATGATTTTTCGATGTTGTCGCGGCGTGCGATATCACGCTTTTAGTATCGAACATCAATTTTCGATCGATCGCGCGATGCCCTACGACATTCTTTTTCGATAGATACTCGTGCGCGTATTTTAAAAGAAAGACCTTAAAAATCCATTTTGCACGGGCCATTAGGCACACATGTTAGCCAAACATCTCTTGTTCCAAAGCAAACTGCGCCCCGGAGGTTTTTCACGAAAAGTCGTCGAATTTCTTCGGTTCGTAGGGTATGAATCCGTCTACTGAAGAAACCCGCGAGAGATAGAATGCGGAAATATTGAAGAAAGTGAAGATGTATGTACGCGCCATTCACGATAATGTCAGCGTTACGTTATTGAGTAGTGGCAAAAGTGATAGGGTCTGAGTCTTTCGAACTTGTTGAGAATAAAGACAGTATAAGACAGAGACGGAAGAGTTTTAAATATTTGCTTAGGAAATGTCAAGAATTAGTGATGATACAGTGGCCTGCGTGAAATATTGATTTTCAAAAATATCGGTGTATTTGAAAGAGAGATATTCCAAATATTTATTTTTTCTTAAATAAATATCAAAAAATAGAACATATGTAACTTTTTCGCGCTGCCGAAGGCAGGAATATAATGTAGAAATTAGAAACGTAAAGCGTAATAAAAAAATATAGCTAAAAATTGCGCGAGACGTAATCTCACGATATGTGAAGTTTTGATTACAGTCTTACGTACAATATCTGTGAAGAAAGTAATCCTAGCCGCGAACAGGATAAACGAGCTCTCTTCCTTCTTTCTTTTATATAGCTACCAACACCATAGTCGCTTTTCCCTCTGCGCGCTATAACGATCCGCCCTCCAGGAATATCTCTATCCACCTGTCTACATCCATATCCTTCAGACAAAATTGTCTTCCGAAGTGGCTTACAAATATATTTCAATAGAAACGTAATATTCCGGAGTCAGTTGTATTGGCTGTTCCTGAATCGTTCCTGGTTTGCCCGCCCTCTTTTTCTTCTCAAAGGGATTTGTTACTATTTCCATGGACATGTACGTATCATACATTCATCATGTCTAAGCGACGAAGTAATATCGTTCCTACTTCTACGCGAGATCTCGTAAAGCCGACGATATAAAGTATTGCAGATAAGGCGAGCGCGTACATCGTCTTAAAAAATGTGTACATTTTTCCCTCGGACGGAAAATACTTGTCGAACAAACGCGAATCTTGGATATGACTGTATTGCATGATATTTCGATTTCAATGGAAATTGGGTGCAGTTTTGCCTATGGACTACATAAGTTCTGAGAATAAGAACAGATCTGTTACGAGCGATAAATACGTGCAATCTCACTTTGAGCGATAAGAATCTTTCCATGTAAAGACTACAAGATTCAACAATCCTTTTTAATATTTTGATGCGTAATTTAGTTCAGAATGAAAAATGATTAAGTTTTTATATTGTTCCGCCGTAATTAAAATTTAATGATAATTAAAATTTAGTAACGAGTCAAAAACATTGTAAAGAAAAATAATGTGCCATTAATGGAGATATTAGAGAATTTTTTAATTAACATTAATTTTTTATTAATTTACATTACATTATCAATTCATGTTTAATACATGCTGCAGTTATTAAATTTTATCAGATCTATATAGTATTTGCAGATAGTATGTAGCCTATATGCAAATTGCACACAATAAATTTTATATTTATGTTCGTTGTTATCACACAGAATGAAAAAGATAATATTCAACATATATGATTATTTTTGACATTAAAAATATTGTGTATATAAATTTAAAACTAAATTTAATTACTTATAAAAAAAGAGAGAGGGAGAGAAACATAATATTGCTTGAAAAGATAATATTGTATATACTATCCATAGGATTATGATGTTTGTCTGCTGAATTTCTCTGGAAGATGTAGCATATGCTTCGTACTTTATTTTCTCGTTTTACACCGCGACGTATCCCAAGAGCAGACGCTTCGAAGGGTCGCGACAGCCCCGAACTTTTGTCAATATTGATCCCCCTCTCTTTACACGCGGGGGGCGTACTTACGCGTTCGGCTAACGTATGTCTTCGATTTTTAGAAGCTTTAATGCGTTTCGCAAACAGACGACCGTTCGAAAGCTACACTTTAGTCTCACCGTTCTCGATGCGTCCCATATGACTAATCATGTTTTAAATCACATTACGGAAGTCCACAAGCGCTCAATTTGCAAGTACAACATTCGAAGTCTAAGCATGCTGGACATTTGAATCCGTTGACGGATTTAATCATACGTTTGCTCTGTAGAAAGTAAAACAAAGTTAGTTAGTCTCTTTTGTAATACCCGTCGCAGCTGCATGTTCATGAGCATAATGTCGTTAGTTATCGACCGTCGTACATCGAGAATAAATTAAATTTCCATAAAGTATAGGACACAGAGAAATTGATTTTTCACCGTCTCGCTCGTTCGCGTTACCTGCAACCTTTTGCGACCTCTAAGGCAGGAGGTGGGGTCTCGTATGTACGACGGGGCGCAAGAAAAAGATTTCAACCTGCCGGCACCCATTTATCGGCGCGCTACTTTGCTTTAATTAATATGCGCTAACAACGTTAATTAATGCGGCATAGCCGCGACGGGTATGGCCGACGAGGACGTGCCAGAAAGGACAAGGAATTCTCTCCTCTTCCGTCTGTCTATCCATCAAGAGCGGCCGCGTTGCTTGTGTCGCATTCAAACCGAGTTGGCGTCACCCCCTGCCACCTTAACTTCGACATCAGAGGCTTCTGGAGCGATATTATCTATAGGAAAGTGCTCGAGAATATTATACGTGCGTAGTGTACACACCCTATCGGGGCCAGCTACTTTAACCGTACTCGACGTTAGAGAGGGAGTAAAACGGGGCGGGGGGGAGGGGTGAAAAGCAGGAAGGTGGAAGCATCCACTAGACGGTAGCGACTACTGCTAATCGAATTATCGATCCATGTCCGCGTTCTCGAAGCGAATATTAGATTTTCCGCGAATTTTAATGTACGACGAAGCCCAACAGGCAGACTTCTTTTCCTCTTTTGGAGAACGTCAACGTAATAGTAAGCAAAAAGATTTATGTCGCGAAATAAATTTGCGACGTCAAAATGTTACTTTAATGACAGTCGCATATATATATAT